TGGCCTTTTGGTTGAAATCAAAGAACAGCGTTTCAGTTTATTCTGAACAGATGCAGAATTGTAAATTAAAGTGCGTTTGGGCATTACTGGAAGAAATGTGTTAAGAAGATGAATACAATTTTTGAAATTAATATTAAAGATGTCTTTAGTATGTGCTAGAACGTAAATTTTTTTTTGGTTTGTTTGTTTGATCAGACGTGCATCACGAGAAAATCACTAGACAGATGGTGATAACATTTGGTATGAAGATAGCTGGTTATCCGGGTCAACATATAGGATACTTTTTACGAGGGTGAGTTGCTAGTTCTAAATAAAAATATGGATTTTGAGGTTAAATTTGAGAAATCCTGTAATTTATAATTCTACATTTATGGACATGCATCGTATTTTTTGAGCCTTGAGTTCGAACCTCTTTATTATAGGCATGAGGTGGTATTGTAAACTTGATTGACCGACGCTACGCGATATAGACATAGTGCCTATACTGGGGACTAGAGCAGATATCATTCTACATCGTTGAGAATAAAAATCTTAAAAAAATATATGGTTTGACATATCTAATTAATATTATCATATATCATTATTATATCATATAATCAAAATAGTTTAGCACATTTTTCTCGTCTGTTTGACAAACCATTATTTTTTTTTTTGAAGTGAATTTTTTTTAGAATCGTTGTGATTTGAAACTCGATAAAACGGAAATGCGATACTAAAAAGAGAAAAACACAAAAACTTTTTAACAAAAAAATAAAAACCGACTTCAATCAAAAGCACTAAAAAGTAAAAAATAACTGATTGGTAGTTTTCATTTACTATACATACCTAATCAAATATTTTCAAAGTCCTATATGTTGTTGTTTATCCTATATTTTGACCCGGATAATTAGCTATCACCATGCCAAATTTCATGAAAATTCCTCCAGTGGGTTTTCTGTGATGCGGTAATAGACAGACAAACAGACAGACAGACAGGCAAAAATTCTAAAAACTATAGATTCGGCATCTATATCGATAATAATGTAGATTTCAATAAGATTTTCCAAAAAATATTTAATTTACAGATTCGGCTAAGTTACAATTTTATTATATGTAAAGATTAAGTTTCATTTCTACCATGTGTGAATTGCACACACATGATCTTTTTTTGTTTAGTAAGAAGCTATTGACGAACTTTTTAGTATTATCATTCAAAAAATACATTTTTATCTAGATAAGTATATTCTATTCATATATGTTTTATTCTTTTCAATAATTAGGGTCCGACCACTGGGTGACCCGTGACTACTATAGTTTACAAGCCAAGAGTGTAAACGACGCACGAAATATTACAGGTATATTGCGGTTATTGATTGAAGGTGTTAGCGTGAGTGGACGCTTAAAGTTAATTATATAGAATGCTGTGTAATGGATTTCAGATGAAGTTTGAATAAATGGTTTTGTTTATGCTTATTAAAAGTTCTAAATAGTTTACGAACTATCTGAGCAATATTATATCAGGATCAAAGTTTTAATTCAGTTGTTGTTGTGGATGTTGGATGGTAGGATATTTGGGATTTCATAGAAAATACATCAAGTCATTATAAATATTCCCGTTTTCCTGTTTGTTTTATCACGAATATATGTACGAGTATGTCTACAAACATTTGTATTCATCACACATATGAATGCCCCCAACGGGATTCGAACCCGCGACCGCTGGCACAGCAAATATGGTCACTACAAACTGTCCCAGACGTGTCGTCAACATAACTATACCAAAGGGATGAATGTCACGCTTGACCTATTTACACTTCACATTAACTTCAATACGATAATTTTTCCCATCATAAAAAAGGATTTACAAACTTTTTAGAAGTTACAAAGGAAAATTTTCCTCTTCATATTATAACTGTAAGATTAAGTCCTTAATTTTACTAGCCAATAGTACACCTTATTCCCCTTTGATAAAGATGTAAATTGCATTCACCAGAAATTCATTCATCTTATGTTGTTTTGTTGAGGAAACAACTGATCAGAACTCGCGAAAAGCTTACTTTGTTCTTTTCTTTTCAATGTATTGACAATTTATTCTAAGGGTTGTTTTGGTGTAATATATATTGTAGGGCATAAAAGGGTTGAAAATTACCTGAGAATTTTCTCGCATGAATTAATACGAGAGATACAATGCTAAAGTATACTTTACTCTAAATACGCCATTGCTTGTTTGTATGACGCATGTATAAAAAAATCTATACATTCACTTTTTGTCGTCCCATTATTGGGCGTGAGCCTTCCTTCAATACGAGGGAGATCAGGCCATAGTCCAGCACGCTGGCCAATAGCAGGTTGACGGACTTCACATATCCTCATAATATTTTTACCATAACAATGGTAATCTTATTGAAAATAATTAGCACATGATAATGTCAAAGGCACGACCGGGTTTGAACCTACGTCACTTGGTTTCTCAAACAAACGCGTTACCGCTGCTACTACCACTGCCCTTTTTTGTAATGAGCAGCAGTATTTAGATAACAAGAATGTTTCTTATTCTTCATTTACTGTACTAGTATACATATATGATTTAATTATTTTACTCCCATATTTGTTGTGGTGATGTATTTTGGTGTTCGAACAACTTCAATAAAAGAAAAAGTACTCAATTCTGGTGGGAGATTTTTTAGAGAGTTTTTCCCTTAATTGAACTAAAGTACAAAGTTTCGTACATACAATTGTCTTTAAATGCGTGTATGTTTGTTAGTCTTTCACGCTGAAAGGGCTGAATACAGATGCACACATATAGGCTACCTGGAGTAAATAAAACATATGCTACTGTTAGGCACCTAAAGCGTACCGGACCCGAGCGAAGCGATGGTAAGTCGAAGTAGTAAAAACTATGCCCACCTATTGCTGTCTGAAAAGAGGACGAACTTCTGTTATTAGAACAATAAACACACGTAAATTCTTTTTTTTATATACACATTTCCGCCATATGGGAAAAATGGAGACCATATTGAAAACTAGGCACTTTCATGGTTTTAAATCAATTAAAAACTTTCACTATCCCAAAATCGAAGTTAGAAAATATAACACTAAAAATATAGTTTTCCAGACCAAAGTTCGGTCGTAGTTTGTACTTTTTATTTACGTTCTGATAAACGAAGTTCTCAAGCTGCCGCTCATTAACATCGGTTCAACATCGTGAAGCTTTTTGAATACCAATATTCTTTCTTTCTGTAATTTTTATTCTGGACGCCTCCCAGAATGCTGAACGAAATGGAATACTAATTACTGCAATCGATCTCCTGGACGATCTTCATTTTATACGAGAGATATATTTGACAGAAACTTAAATAAAAATCATCTGTGTCTTTATCCATTATAATTTGAATGGCTTGACCGATTTTAAGGAAACTTTTCCTGACGAATACAACATTTAGAGAAGAACATATGCTACTTTTATCCAAGAAAACAGAAAGAACCTTCGTAGGATAAACAACAAAATGAAGAATTTTCAATCATGGATAACACATTCAATTGGTATATTAGCTGGTCTGATGATGAAGTCACTATTCTCTAACGGCTACTCCCTTGCTTACTAAATTCAAATTATCGTGTTTCGCTTAGACTTCTTTTTATCTCTATTCTAACATAAATCCTTAACTTGTACATTTAACAGCAGTTTAATAGTTATTGAGAACTGAGAAAACTGAGCGTCGTTTTTGTATATACTCATTCAATCACTTTAGCGAGCTTTTTAATCTGTACTAATATGAGTAATAATAAAGAGGCAAAGTGTGTAAATTGTGAGTTTGTGACGTTGTATGGGGTAATCTCTGGATCTACTGAACCGATTTAGATGAAATTTGGTAAGAAGATAGTTTGAGACCTTGGGAAGGATATAGGATACTTTTTAAATTTTAAAATAATGAAATCATCCCTTAAGGGGTGAAAATTGGGATGAAAGTTTGTATTGGGAATAAACCTATACCTATTAAATAAACAGTATACAATGATGCAAATATATAATGCCTTTAATACCATAAGTAGCTTCAGCTCGAAACCATTCATTTGTCTTCATCAAGCTATGAATTGTTTACTTACTGAATGAGGTAAATGATGCATTCAAATCGTTAGTGTCGCGCGATTAACCCTTTTAAAGCCAAAATTAGCATACTTGTCGACTTTCAACTATGAATTTCATTCTCTATATATGAACAGGTAGAAACAATATAGTTTCAGTACATTTTTATGTACTGAAACTATATTGTTATCGTTATAGTTATCAATAAAAAAAAACAATATCATATTTTCCAGCATCATTTTTTTTCCTTTATACTTTGTCATTGTATTTAAATTCTAACACAGTTTATTAACTTCTGCAATTATTGTCTTTTTTATCCGTATCTGTTATTTATAAAATTTCTATTAATCGTTAAAATTGTATGTCAACGGATGGACGTAAAATATTTTTACTAGACGCCGTGGCGCCTTGGTAGGCAAATTGGAGATATAATAATACCATTACTGTATAACATTTCCTCGAACGGCTCAATCTCACTACTTTTTCCTTTTTTGAATATTATTTGTTGCTATAAATATTTTTTTGTATAATATTCATCTCAATTATTAGGTCTTCTATCTTAATTATTTACAAAACAAAATATTGATTGAATAATATGGTTTACGATCGATTGTGCTCTACTGGCTCGCGTTTAAGCTATAAATTAAGAGATTGAATTGAACTGAATGGATTCTTATGTACAGCTAGTTTATAGCTTTTTTATTCTTTTCGATATTTACTAGCCATTTCCATTGATTGATATTTCCTAGATATAGGGGAGACATTTTTCCATCTCATCATAGTTGTTTTTTTTATTCCTTAAAGGGTCTGGTTTTAATAAAAGCATTTTAATGACTTAAATTCGTAAATTTATAATAACTTAAAGAAGTAAATTATGAAAAAATATCCTAAATAGTGCTTAATTTAAGAAAAAACAAATTATTCTAAAACTTACCTAAAAACAACACTAGTTTCCTCATTTTCTAAATGCGAAGCATCCATCAGAGACCATTGGAGCACTACACCTGTTCGACCTTCTAAAGGCCCACTCACTATCATGGCCGGCACGAATCTATATCTCAAACCCTTTCTGTAAGTTGATCGTTCCACTCGCGAATAACTACGAAATTTGGGTCTGAAGTAATACACATCTAAGTCACTTTCACTTTTTGTCCTGTAGCTGAAGTCTTCGTTCCACGTTTTGATGTGTTTCGATCTAACAGGTCTCAAATGCTTGGGCACGAAATACGGGATTGGTTCTTCATCTCTGCAAGGTCGTTCAGCAAAGCTCGTTGGAGTGAAGTTTCCTCGAATGAAGTTTCCAACTATGGAATATAACACGTAGTCGCGTAATGATGGTTCATCAAATTGGAGGTGAACTGTAAAGAAAAAAATAAATTTTAATATTGAGTTAAACAAAATAGTAAAACTTTCTTAGATTTACGCGAATACTTGACATTTTAAATAAAACTATCTTTTCAATTGAAAAAAAAATGAAAAATGGCAATTTTTTAAATTCATTTTGTTAATTGTGGGTAGGCTGTCTGTACCAACTATATAATACCTTAGAGACATCTAACACCTCAGTCTCTCCCGTGACCATGATTGCTGTAAAACATTCGAAACGTCGGGAGCCAAAAATCAAAATAAATTCGCGAAAAAATTTCGAAAAGATAGTTCTATTTAAAATAGTAAAAAATAAGGTTCCTGAAGAGATGGAACACCTATTTAAATGGTGTCAAGCCGCTACCTGTACATTGTTGATGTTTGTTTGATCATATTTCGAATAAGACAGATACGCCACTCTGTTAAATTGCCTAAAAGCCATAAAAAGTGTAATATAAGTGGATAAATAAAAAGTTTCTTATAATACGTAACATGTTCTCAAAATATTATCTATTCCGTTCATTTCTTCTGATCACATAATGAGGTTATTATCTATATTTTATTTACAACTAGTGAATCACCCTCGCTCCGCTCGGGTTCTTCCCTAGTTACTTTTTAACGTTTAGTATAGATTTTTTAGAGATGAGATATTTTACCGCAGTAAAAAGTATCCTATATGTTGACCCGGATAACCAGCTATCATCATACCAAATTTCTTCAAAATCTGTTATATAGTTTTCTCGTGATGCGTTACCAGACAGACAGACAAAAATTTTAAAAAGCATCAGATTTGGCTCTGTATCGATAATAATGACTATATCAATAAGATTTTCCAAAAAATATTTAATGTACAGATTCGACTCAGAATTTTATTATATGTTTAGATTTATCATACTTAGTTTATATGATTTAAATGAAATGTAAACCCCAAAATGAATTGATTTTTTCATACTATTTGAGCTTTATTATTTAAAAGCATCGTTGGTATAAGAGTTCTTAATATGAAAAGTACTTAAGAAAAAACCGAGAGCACTTCTCATTAAGAGGCCGTTGGGCAGCTGGTGATTGATACAAGTTATGAATGGCTTCCATTAGTAAAATACAATAATGGAAAAGCCTAATACATGTTGATTAATTAACTCACAACGTATCCTTATACTCTAGGGCGACTCCCTTGTTTTATATATGTACTAGCTTTACCCGCGGCTCCGCCCGCGTTCAGATGACCAAAAACCAAATTCTTAGGTTTTACATTTTTTTGTATTTTTGTATTTTTTTCCAGAAATGAGATATTTCCCCGCGCTATAAAGGATTAATGGTGACCCGGATAGCCAGCTACCATCATACCAAATTGCTTTAAAGTCTATCCAGTGGTTTTCTCGTGATGCGGTAACAGACAGACAGACAGACAGACAAAAATTCTAAAAACTATAGATTCGGACTCTGTATCGATAATAATGTTTATTTCAATAATATTTTCCAAAAAATATGTAATGTTAGTTACAATTTTATTATATGTATAGATAACCAATGTTTGCTGCATTGATTCTCGATTGAAGTAAAGCAATAATAAGGGTTGATAAAAAACTTTATTTGGCTATTTTTATTATCTTTCTTTTGTATATTATTATGTATTACATTATCCAAACTAATTTAGTAAGAATATAAAAAAAAATGAATGTATACGAACAGATAAGACAAACTTTATATGTATTTATTAATTGATAGTTATTCATCTATAATACAGATAAATATAATTGAAGTGTCTGTTTGTAAAATAACAGCTTTTTACTAAATGCATATGGAATTACGGTACTTATGAGAAAAACTATAATTTTAATTTGTATCAGTCTGTCTGTCTGTTTGTTCTGGCTAATCTTCGAAACGGCTAGACCGATTTTGACGGGACTTTCATTGGCAGATGATGTTATAAGGAGTTAATTAGGCTAGTTTATAATATTTTATTACACAGGAAATACAAAATGTCAAAAGATCTGTTTAATGGAAACTTCCTGTTGACCATAAAATTCATCTAAAAAGATATTTCTTATGTATTTCACTCTTTTAAGACATAAACTAGTACTAAATGCTAAGTGTAAGATGTTTCGCTGCCGTTGCTGTAAAAGCAAGTGTATTATAAATCTTTCAGACTGCTTTATGAGGTGGTTGGGAATAAATATTGTTGGGAGATTGGACTCTTTTTTGGAGCAAACTTGTAATTTTTAAGAATTTAAGTGTTTTGAATTAATGTAGTTGTATTAAGAACTCTATAGGCACAATCGATAATAATAAAAAATATATACCTACAATATTTTCTTTTATTCTTTACTTCGTCAGTTGTACCGGAAATGAGTGTATTATTTATTATTAGTTATATAACGACTTCGAAAGTATCTGATTAGGTATCTATAGTAAATGAAAATTTCCGTTCAGTTGTTTTTTAGTACTTTTTAGTGCCTGGAGGTCGGTTTTTTTTAAGTTTTTACTTTTTAGTGCCCAGAAGTCGTTTTTTTAAAAAAAAAGCTTTTATCTGGAATAGTTTGTAATGATAGACGTATACATGTATAATTTTAAGGTAGGTAAAT